GTGCTGCAAAATAATCTTGCCTGTGTTGCCAGCAGGAAAAAGCTTTACATAGCAAAGAACAGCCTGAATGTTGATACCAATGACAGCAGTCAAGATGGTCTACAGGATACCCTCTTCTGTTCACTACCACTCACACTTGTTGAAGAACAGGCCTGACAAATGCTTTTTGTTTGGGTGAGAAGCGGGTAACTGATGAAAAAAGGAGTCAATTTCTGGGATTTTCTCTTGCGTGGTGTCATTTTGTGAATTGTAGTGGTGCTGGGGAATTCCTGTTCAATACCTTGACCATTAGCCTATGGAGTGTATCAGGGTTCCATGATTCCTCGTAATATTTCACATATACATGAAAAATCTGAAAGAGGCTGTCCAGAATGTTGTGATTGTTATACTACGAGTGTGCTGATGACATCCAACTCCATCTGCTTTTCAGGATTTTCCAGGAGACCCTTCTCTCTGGTGATAATAAAAATCATTGGTCTTTAGCAGGTCTGAAAATTAGGTGTATCAGGGTTCCATGATTGCTCGTACTATTTCACATATACATGGTTTGTTTGGAAGGGTTGCCAGGAGAAAGCCTCCTCTCTCTAAAAAGAACATGGAATATGTCATGTGTCATGGTTCATCTGAGATTGCATTTACCTAATTTTCAGACCTGTTAAGGACCAGATGCTTTTTATTACAGTATGTCTTGATATGTTTAAATCCATATAAGCCAAAGAAGGTGTAGTTTCTTCTTTCCCATGACTACCTCTGTAAGCTTCCTGGATGTGGTGGGCACTGGCACCAGAGGACTAGAAAGTTCGCATTAAGGGTGGGCAAAGTGTGGACCTTCCAAAGAGACGGTTGCTCCCAGCATCCTCTCACCTTGCCTATGCTGACTGGGGCATTCCAGACCAATAACAATGTGTGAAGCTCTGTAGGTTGAAACCTTAGGAAAAAGAAATCTGGATTTGCAGGCACCTTCATCATTGCAGTCTTGCCTGTTTCCAGAAAGCCTCAGCTCTGTGACTCAGAACTTCTACAGTTAACAAGAAACTTAGAGCCTTGCTCATTGAAATCTCTATTATATGATATACAGCCACACAAGAGACCCTGCACTCCGACTTGACTTACCTTGACAAAAGCATGGATGTGGTGCAAAAGGAGGTTTCAATAGACGTCATCAGAAAAAAAACCCCTATCGAATGATTTATGCATGTGTTTTGCCAGACTGAACTGATTCAGTTCCCAGGGTGTGGTTTAAAATGAAGGTGTCTTACCCAAAATTGCAGGAGATGCAGCCTCCCTTGCTCTAATAAAATTCTGTCTTTGATTTTAAATGCATTTTAATGTCAGGAAGAAATTAAGTCTAGGCTGAGATTGCTTGGGTCTGAACCACAAGAGTTGTTCGTACAGAAGAGCAGATAGGAAAAAAAATTGAGAGTAGCTGCCTTGAACAGAGGAGAAGGGTAAGAGCTCAGTCCACTGCGGCCCCTGCCTGAATGCTAATTGGTTTTAAGAAGGGGCAGGACAAATTTGTGAAAGATAAGCCTACCAAATGTTGGTTAGTGGCAGTAGTGACTATATGCAACATCTGGATTCAAACAATCTCATTAACATTAGAAAAAAACATTGTGGCATCTTACAGACTAACTGCTATATTTTATTTTGTGGCTCAAATCCACTTCCTCAGACATATGAGATTAAATAGCAATTTTTAATACATTTATACACGGCACCAAAATATAGATGCAGTGGTTAGTAAGCTGTAGACTGTGTGGGTCAATGTAGTATTTCTCAGCAGGTGATGACTTCTGTTTGATATTCAGACCTTGTCCATTGAAGCCTTGCATTGTAAAAGGGTGTAGGAACCACTGGCATAGAATAACAGTAACAGAAACAACATTATACATGGCCAAAATGAAAGAGACTGGCGTTTTATAGCTGGTGATGACTTTTCCAGACTGAAGAAAAGAGAAACTACTGTATAGGACAAGAATCCAGAGAAAGAGAGCCGAGATAAAATACATATATATGCTGAACACCTGTATTAATCGGCTCAATATTAGCCAAGGCTTCTTAGGGCACTACCAAATGGAAAACACTACAGTACAATGATTTTACTATACCTGTTGTATCTCCCAGATACATTTCCCACCTTACCAGATCCACCTTAAAAGCTTCAAAGATAACAAGAGAGTTTTAACATGTAACCATGTTGTCGTTTCTGTCATCTATTGCCTGGGGTAATTCAGCTACTATTGTCGCTGTTTACAAAACCACCTAGAAAGGAATTGCATGTCAGACAGGAGTTTTAAGAGTCATTGTCAGCTATAAAATTTCAGTCTCTTTAATTTTGGCCTTGTATGTCTAAGGAAGTGGATTTGGTCCACGAGAGCTCACCTAGACTATATCGGTTGGTCTTTAAGGTGCCTCAATGTTGTTTTGTTTTGGCCCGATATCCTTGCACAGACTAATGTGGAAACGTCTTCTAAAACTGCAGCTTTGAGTTCAAGGATAGAATGCCACCAAATATTGGTTGGTGGGAGAGGAACCACAGAGGCCGCTTAAGAGGGCTGCCCAGAGGCATCTGCTTGACCTCTGAGAGAAAGGGGATGTTCAACTTTGTGTGGCTTTCCCTGGCAGGGCTCTGGATTTAAAGCAAAACGAATGACCCACATTGCTGGGTCCACTGAACGCTGGCATGTGAGTCATTAGATAATGTCAGTGAGCAGGAAGAGGAGATTGCCTTCCAGCCTTGCTTCCAGGCTTCTCCGAGTGACCGGACTCGTCAGTGTGGGAAGCGGAGCGCTGCATCAGGTGGGCTTTCTGTTCTGTTCTAGCAGGACCACGTGAACGTTTTCTCAGCTCTTGCACCCCCAAATTTGCATTCTGTGTTGCGACTCTTGTGGCGACTTGCACAGAAAAGGTGGACTGATTCCTGGGCTTAAGTCACAATACTGACCCCCACCCCATCCCAATTTGGCGTGGGAGGCTTGTGTCTGCTGATGTAAAAACAAGGCTGAACTTCAGTCTCTGGTGACTTGCCTTCTTTGGCTTGCTTTTTAGTGTTAAGTGGTCCTGCACGCCATACAGTCATGCCCGCTGGACGATTACCCCGCTCTACAACAAATCTGCATTATGTTGATGTTTTATGATCGCTGGCTGAAGAAAATGGCCCCCCGCTGATGCCCGCTGGACGATTACCCCGCTCTACGACAAATCTGCATTATGTTGACGTTTTACGATCGCTTTTGCGATCTCAAAACAATGGTTTAAATGGGGGAATTTCATTTAGCGATGATCGGTTCCCTGCTTCAGGAACCGTTTTTCCGCTTTACGACGATCAGCAAACAGCTGATCGTTGGGTTTCAAAATGGCCGCCGGCTGAAGAAAATGGCCCCCGCTGTTTACTAGGACGGATTCCTCGCTTTACAGGCACTGAAAATGGCTGCCGTATGGAGGATCTTTGCTGGACAAGCAGGTATTCAGCCCTTTGGAACGCATTGAACGGTTTTCAATGCGTTTCAATTGGTTTTTTCGTTTTGCTTGACAATGTTTTTGCTCTACAGCGATTTCGCTGGAACAAATTAACATCGTCAAGCGAGGCACCACTGTACTGGCTTTCAGGCGGCTTTCCCTTGCTAACAAAGGAATAGGGCAACACTTGGGTAAACTTCTCAGCTAAATCTGTAGCTCCATCTGCTATATTGTTTTCATTGTGTAGTGTGGTTGTGAGTGCATCTATGCCCCTGTAGATGTAGATTTATAATACAGTGGTGCCTCGCTTAACAATTGCTTCATATAACGAAAAATTCGCTTAACGATTTTTTTGGAGCGATTTTGCGTTTCGTTTAACGATTTTCCCTATGGGTGATTTTCGCTTAACGACTGCGTGTGTGTCTATGCCCCTGTAGACGTAGATTTATAATATATACATAAGTATGTAGACATCCCCCCCCCGTTTGTGTACTTGTTTGCCTTCACCCTGATATCCCTTACCAATGATTAGCAATAGAGAATCCTCTGCTTTGTGCCTTCTTCTCCTTGTAAAAGGGAGCTGGTTGAGTCATCCCTCATTCCCCTTCCCCATGAAGCACGTGTTCTTATCCAGCACTGCCCTCTCCTTACCTTGTTACCCTGGGAATAAAGTAGGGATGCCCCCATGAGTCATTGGTTGGCCCCCTTTCACAGGCTGGGCCTCCACCATCTGCCCCAGTTTTAAACGTTAACATCCTTAAAACAAAAACAAAAAAAAAGGGGGGGAACCAGTCTGAAGCCGTCTGTTGTTCTCTCCCGTTGTGGCTGAACTTTTATGGAGCACTGCAACCACTTCCTCCAAAGAGCCCAGACTCCCCTAAGGATCTTAGAAAATATGGGTGACTCATTTCCTGACACAAGAAGAAAACAAAAAAACTGGGGAGTATAATTATTTGAGAGTCAGCAAGCAAAGGAAAATTTAAACCTTCAATGAAAAATATTTTACAGAAATCCTGCTGTACTTTATAAGTGTGTACACACAGCCCCCCCCATTTGTGTACTTGTTTGCCTTCACCCTGATATTCCTTACCAATGATTAGCAATAGAGAATCCTCTGCTTTGTGCCTTTTTCTCCTTGTAAAGGGAAGCTGGTTGAGTCATCCCTCATTCCCCTTCCCCATGAAGCACGTGTTCTTATCCAGCACTGCCCTCTCCTTACCTTGTTACCCTGGGAATAAAGTAGGGATGCCCCCATGAGTCATTGGTTGGCCCCCTTTCACAGGCTGGGCCTCCACCATCTGCCCCAGTTTTAAACGTTAACATCCTTAAAACAAAAACAAAAAAAAAGGGGGGGAACCAGTCTGAAGCCGTCTGTTGTTCTCTCCCGTTGTGGCTGAACTTTTATGGAGCACTGCAACCACTTCCTCCAAAGAGCCCAGACTCCCCTAAGGATCTTAGAAAATATGGGTGACTCATTTCCTGACACAAGAAGAAAACAAAAAAACTGGGGAGTATAATTATTTGAGAGTCAGCAAGCAAAGGAAAATTTAAACCTTCAATGAAAAATATTTTACAGAAATCCTGCTGTACTTTTGTATCAAGGGGAGTTCTTTTTTTCATATTGCAATATATTTTAAAAGTTATATTCAAGCAATGACCACTCTGTCCATGAGAGGGAAACTATTGCAAACAATTCAAACTGTGTCATGGCGAGTGTAATGGAACCAGGTAAATTCAGTCTTTCTCCTAGATAGCTTCAATCCTGATGGAACAGTTGTTGTGATTACCAGCGGGGCTGTGAGGACAGGCCATCTTGCCATGTGCAACTCCGGCCAAGAGCTGCCGTTTTGCTCCCCTTCACTGACCTCTCACCAGGCGGCAGAGTTTGGAATCTGTCCCTCTGTGTCCAGAAGCGTCAGTGGCAGAGATGTGAAGCGATGCTCACGAAGCTGTTTAGCCAGAGGGACCAGCTTGCATCGGACGATGCTACAGGGAGGATGGGTTGACGGATGGAGGCTTCTTGGCAGGAGCAGGATAATTCAGGAAAAAAATACCCAGGAAACTAGGAAAGGCCACTGATGCCTCCTGCACCATCTCCTCCGGACATTTTGAGTCTGGAACAGGACTGCATGAATCCTATTTTCACTTATTAATCTCTTTAAGACCCACTCATTAATCTGTTTAAGCAAACGCTTATGTTCAAATAATTGGTCTGCATCCGTCATCCTTGGGTAAGAAGCAACTTCCGAACCCTGCCTCTTTGCAGTCTCTATGAAGTCCAGGCTGGGCTTGTATAGCAGTTGGGTGGCCCAGAATTGGCTACCAGGAGCTGAAGTCCCCAAAGCCGGTGCTTTTCTTCTCTTTCTTTGCAGCTACGCTGGTGGATGGTCCGTCGTCATCCGGCATCCGCTTGCTGTAATGGAAACCACATGGTCAGGGCGAGTTTTGTATATCGTCTTGGCACCAGCAGCTATTGAACATGCCGCACAGAACCTCCTTCTATACACCTATTCTCAGAACTGCCTTATGAAGGAGGCCGAGGCAAACAGAAGGCTGACTCCCATTAACGCTGGCAGGAGAGGAGGACACGTGTTGGCCTCTGGGCATGGAGGTGCGTGTGTGGCTCAACTATGATTCCACCCAACGACGTGTCAGCCTCTGGGCATGGAGTTGTGTGTGGCTCAACTATGATTCCACCCAACACTGCCTACTTTGGTTGACATCAGTTTTCTTTCAGATCTCAGGCAGAGATCTACATACTCAACAGACATTCGCTGGAGATAACTGAGATTATGCCTGCAACCTTTCACATGTGATGTGTGTGCTCTAGCACAGTGGTCCCCAACCTGGGGGGTCCCCAGATGTTCTTGGACTACAACTCCCAGAAGCCTTCACCACCACCTCTGCTGGCCAGGATTTCTGGGAGTTGGAAGTCCAAGAACATCTGGAAGGCCAAGGTTGGGGACCCCTGCTGTAGCACATTGACTATGCTCTCGACCCCGCTGGCCCAGTTCAAGCACAGCGATCCCTTCTCCAGGTCAGAGGATGGAGTAGCTGAGCTGCTTTCCTTACCGAGGAAAGATCAGAAAACTTAAGAAAAGCTGGTTTGAAATGCAGGAAAAAGAGAGGCTCCAACTGTGGCTTTAAAAGCTTTGGCAAGTATTTAGCTTTAAATAACAAAGTCTTAGACTATCTTGAGGAACTCGGGCCTCGTGCTCTTGTCCGAGTTGAACCTATGAAGCTGGTGACGGAGGCTTTGCAAAGCCTCCCCACCCCACTGTTTCTTTCCAGGCCAAGCAGCTGCTAAGCCACGAAGCCCACCCGCTCCTCCCTCTCGGTGCTATTCTCGGCTCCTCCTTTGGGAGGCTGTTAGTTTGCCAGGACCTCGCTCAGCCTCATGCTCATCCAGACAAAATGCCCTACAGGGATGAGGCTGCAGACGCCAAGCATTCCCCCTGACAGGCTGCATCTCCTTTCCAGAACTGAACGGTTAGAGTGCAAGATGGAAACGGCACAGCAGCACTCCGGGCGAATCCAACCCCCTGCCATCAATCATCACGTTTTCTGCCACAACTTTCATGTCCACCATGACTGGGAGGTAGAAAACAGTTTTAAACTCTGGCAGAGTTTTAAAATTAGAGGCGAATAAATTTGTCCAGCTGCTGGATTCTGACAATCTAGAGTGGGTCGCCGTTGTGACTCTGCTCCTTAAAAGTTCCTTCTTGCAAGGAGAATAGGGGTGTGTGGATAGAGATTTGTATGTGGACGTTGTCCCATTCAGCAGCTCTGGTGGGCATGGGCTTTCCTTCACCCTACACAGTAATAGAGTTTGTAACTTGATAGCCATTTACATGGAAGCCCACTGGGAATCACAAGGGACAGGTGAAACGGCCAGATCCTCTCCAGTGTATCAGCTGGGAGAAACTCCCATTTCCTTCATCAGTAGCTGAACTTGTTTCCCTTCTGTAAAAAAATCTATTGTTAAATCTATTAAATCTAAGTCATAACTTTAAACAGCAAAATGCCCCATTGTGCAGTGGCAAAAACAGAATGTAGCCAATTGATGAAGGCAGTAGTCTTTATCTTGCTTAACTTGGTTCCACCTCCATTTAGGTGTTGGTTTCCGGTTGAATTTTTATTTGTGTTGTCAATGGATGCTGATTTTGTAGTGTTGGGTTTGGTGGATTAATTTTCCTTTTTATTGTCAACTGTCCAGAGTACTGCTTGTCACTAAGTTGGGCTGTACATAAATATTCAAAACAAACAAACAAACAGTGGGACTTGTATTTAACCTAGAACAAAGGGCTTGTTTTTAATTGTCTCCCCTTTGAGGGCATCTCTTCCATTCCTTTCTCTCTTCTCCAGCCCACTTGAGGGAGATCCTCTGTTCTTTCTCTCTGATCTTCTCCTTAACCTCCTCCTTTGAATCTTCCTATTATATTACATATAACCCTCTTATAGTCCAAACCCACAAGTTATCAGAAACTGGATCCAAACCGCACATTATATTATATAACCCTCTTATAGTCCAAACTCAAGTTATCAGAAACTGGATCCAAACCGCAAAGAAGACCTGCGGAAAGGCTATGCTTTTGTTGGTATAGCAACTACTTTGCTTGCCAATGTTATAACTCTCTGACATCTCCAGCTTAAAAGACTAGGTAGCAGATGACAGAGAAGAACTCAGATTAAGACCCTAAAGTACAGTACCTCCAACCTTGGGTCTCAATATGTTCTTGGACTACAACTCCCATAAATCTGGGCCAGTACAGCTAGTGGTGAAGGCTTCTGGGAGTGTTAGTCCAATAACATTTAGGAACCCAAGGTTGAGAATCACTACCCTAGAGGAACATAGCCTGCCAGAGCAGATAAACATTGTGCTATAAAGACATGTTCTCAGACTCGGTAGAAAACAGCTTCCTATAGGATGAAGAAGTGGTGCGGGACAAAGGAACGCGCAATTTTAGTCATTAAAAAGTGCATCGGAAACTTACGCTGCCGCTATATTAATGTATTTCCCAACTCCCTTGCGGTATGTTTTTGGAGTGTGAGGTTCCTTCTTTGGGACCACGGCTTTGATTTCCCCCTTTGCTGCCTCTTCCTCTTGATGAGCCTTCTCTCTCTCTTTGGCAACCTTTGAAGAAAAGAACCACAACCAGATAATGCTCCAGAAAGTACAGGAGGTGAGGTTCGAGTTGAGAAGGCGCCTCGTCTCAAGGCAGGACTGTCTTCAGACGAGATGCCTTCTTAACCTGACCACCCTATTTATTCTATGGAAATCTCATTCGATGATGGATGGGCTCACCCACTCTGTTAATGCAGACAAATGAAGACAAAAATGGAAGCCACCCAGATGGTACAAGGCTCTGTGACAGGAGGTTCCTGTTACCAAAATGGAATATGATTCTATGGGAGGGGAGTGTAAATAATCCTTGAACACACTTGCTTCTTCCACTGTTCTGAATAGGAGCTGATCTGCAATGTTTGCACAGGGTAGCAAGCAAAGCCTAGATGATGGATCAGGCCCTCTGCTTCAGCAGTGGCCGGGATACCAGTTTAATAAGAGGGCTCTAGAGAACAGGTACAGTCCTAGAGTTATGCACACACCCCAAAAGGAGTCAGGTGGCGATGCTTTGCAATTGTAGCAGCCCTGTCAGAAAATTTCGATCAACAGGTATAAATAAAATACAGTGCCTGGAGCATCTAATACTAATACCACCACTCCCCTTTGTATTCCAGACTATGCCAGTGGCTACTGAAAAGGCTAATCCTTTTTTCCTCTTAGACTGTTAAACTCACAGTTTATCGCTACATCCTGTATCATTAATATAATAAATTGGTTTAATTGTGGAACAGGAAAAAAAAATGAAAAGGAGAAAGGATTGAAGGCTGTCTGGAAGATATTAAATCATTTCCTGCCTGATTTCCTGTAAGTGCAAGGCAGCTTAAGTTAATGTTTCCATCATCACCTGAGCATCTGCTTCTTCGTACGGATCAACGAAAACAGTTGTTGAGTTGATTTTGATTTCCTCCTAAGAACAGAACAGAGGGGGGGGGAAGATAAATATGGCATGCTTCACTGGGCCATTTTCTTGAGTTGCAGTTTAGAGAATGAGCAGACAGGATACTGAGTCAGACCAAGGACAATCTTATTCCTACCCAGCAGTCCTCCATACCTCACCCCCCCCATGACTCTACCTTTGGACGGTCCGTTTTTGGGTCGCTCTCCACATTCTCCATTGCCGTCAGAGTCTCAAAGCCACCGACCACCCTACAAAAACAGGACAGTTTTGCTCAGGGGGGGAGGAAAAAGCCAAGGAAGAGTGACAGCGCTGTCTGAAACCTGTCAAAGCACAGCCCTTTGTAGCCAGACTGGGATGGGGGCACAACAGAACCTAGTCAAAGCCTTCACAGGGGTGTAAAAAGGCAAGCCCTAAAGGCGAGCCCCTTGGCGTGTTCAAATTTATTTAGTTTATTGCACAACATTCATAAAATATTTTATTTCAAGGGAATGATGAGGATACCAAGAAATTGCCACCTCCACCCATCTACCAACAAGAAGACACGTGGACTCTCAACATCAGCAGAGCAGGACTGCGACCACTAGGTAATATCTGGATTTTAATCTGACCCCAAATGGCTAAACCTACTGAGTGTACTAAATGATCGCCCCAGTTACCAGACGGAGGGCTCAGGTTTTCTGTGTCTTCTCCCGCTGTGAACAAGCAAAAGCATGTCTTGTTTCAAAGGAAGGCCAAATGACGAGGTACGCACGTGCACACCGCCTGTGCTTCTTTGTTTGAAGAACTGTGGCGTGATAGCCAATCCACAGCTCCTTTAGCTGCAACTTCAAAACCAGCACCACGCTGCTTCCTGCATCTTTCCTGGCCTAGGTCTAAGAAAGACGTGCCTGGCGAAATCCATCTTACCATGAAATGTTGGACTTTTAAGTTCTTCACACCGGTACAAGCCTGACGAAGTGGTGTTCATCCGTGAAAGCTCACGTGTCGTCTGATGATTTTAATGGTCTCTAAAGGTGCTGCCTGTTCTGGTATCTGTAGTTCTTTGTAGTTACTTCTCCCAAGCTCAGAAGGCAGGCATAACTGTTTTTATACTACCGTGGTCAGATAATGACCGTGCTCCTTTTTATAGGATAACTGTAACTTCAGTTACTTTTATAGTTATGGGAGAGCAGCCCTGCCTATCTCAAGTGCTGGCTCCTGCAAGAACCTTTGGACTTTTAAGTTCTTCACACCGGTACATGCTTGACAAAGTGGTTCTGATCCATGAAAGATTGCATACTGTGTGATGATTTTTAGTGGCCTATTAAAGGTATTGCCTACTCTGCATTTTTATTTTGTATTTACCGGACAGCTTCCTTTTATTTCAATAAAAAAAAAATCCGACAGTTTCTAGAATTCACTGACCGTGTCCACGTACTGTTTCTGGAGGGCGTATATTTTAGTTTTAATTGCTTTTGATATGAATTTTGATGTGAATTTATCTGACAGTTTCTAGAATTCACTGACCATGTCCACGCAGTGTTTCTGGAGGGCATATATTTTAGTTTTAATTGCTTTTATATGAATTATCCTATTTAATCTTCCTTGGGGACGGCTATGAGATTTAGGAACTTCCAAGAAGACATACAACATAAACTTCCCTGGGGACGGCTATGAGCTTTAGGAACTTCCAAGAAGACATACAACATGTCACAAAATGCTGACATTAAGAATCCTTTAAATGACATGAAAATATTGTGATGAGACAAGAGCTATCAAAACCAACAAAACTACATTCCTATTCAAATTCCTGCTTGAATTATATATGGTTTCCCAGTCCTGTAGGGCAGAGCGGAAAAAAAGAACCACCACCGCCAGAAAGATCATTGTTTCATCTCTGAAACGTGAGGGGTATACTTTCAGAACTAACAAGATTTCTCAGTGAGCTGTTCTACCGATTCCTCTATACATTACAAAGTCCAGAGCAGATGTTCCATTTTATTATGATGCTTCGGGCAGGTAACAACAGGACCCCTTTATCAGTGCCACAGATTCAAAGCCCATCTCTGTCTCACACACACACACACTCTGCATTTTTAATTGTCCTTGGAGCACAATTACAATTTAACTACTGGAATCTTCTCGCACAAATTTCAAGTATCTTCTTGGTGGTGGTGGGGGCGCGCGTCTTTTATTTAATTAGGCTTTGATAATTCCAAACATCCATAGGACCACATGCTGTGAACCTCAAGAAATGCATTCTTCTCTGCACTGATTCTAGCCCACCCACAACTATCCGCAGAAATGTTTGGGCAACTAGGGTTTTTTTTGGGGGGGGGGTTGTTTTAATCGTATCTCTGGGTGAGCGGAAAGGATGGGACAAAAACATCATTATTAAAACAGTTTATACCTCATTTTCCCATCACCATTCTGCTAATGATAGCCTAGGGACACAGGCAGGATTTTGATGACGGAAACCATGTGTACAAGGGGGGAGGGTTAAAATCTTCCCATTATGATGCTCTTTACAAACCAGCAAACCCACACATCTGGATATTGGGTTTAAAAAAAGAGGAAATAATGTGTGGATTTTCTGCATAGCCTGCACTTGAGAAACCCCTGATATAGGTGGTGGTGGTTGTTTGTTTGTTTGTTTGTAAAGGAAAGCAGCTTTGGGATGAGAGAAGGAATCTGGAGCAGAGACCCAGTAATGGGAAGGAGCAGTAGGACTTAATACTTTCTCCACCCACCCTTTGGCAACCCACCCAAGAAGTATTAATAATCGCTGTGTTGTTTAAGAAAACCAAAAACAACAAAACTACAATAGTTTCTCATATACTTACAATATTAGTGTGCAATATATGTAGTTTTTCTCACAGCTTCCCCTGGAGAGAACGCCTCTCCATCTTCCCAAGTCATGGGGGTGGGAAGAGAGAGAGAGAGAATCTCTCACACTACCTTTGAAACTTCACACTATCTTTGGAAAGGGCTCATTAAAAAAAAGAAAAGAGGGGGAAAAAGGCAAAATACATGCCCTGCTTTCCAAGCCACTGTGGGTGAGTCTGAGAGAGTCCTGGCTTAGAAAAAAGGGTAAGGGGAAGCTTTAGAAGGACTTGTTTTGGGATTCATACACTGCCTTTCTCCCTACAGTTGGACTCAAGGCAGCTCGTGGTCTCTCTTCTCTCTTGGCCACTGAAGCACCGCTGTGCATTTCATCAATATCTCAGATAATTTCCACCCAATAACAACAGGCAATGTCAAGGGCATTTGGGGTAGCTAACATCACGTTTTCTCCAGTACACCTTGAGGGGTACACTGACTTAAGGGGGAAGATGTCTGGTTTTTTTTTTCCTCCCGTCCATCATCCGTTTCTCCCTGGACAGAGCAATCTCAAGAGGAGAGCATGCAGGCTTCCCCGGATTCTTGCTTACACGTAGTGCCTAGGCATGAGTTTCTCTTTCTCTCTTTAGACACCCTGCTCTGCGCATGGAGACAGTGATGGTGTTGTGGGGTGTGTGTGTGATCCTCCTTTCGAAGAATATTGTCAAGAAGCAGAGGTAAGAGGAGAAGGGGACAACAGGATGAGATGGTTGGACAGAGTCATCACAGCGACCAACATGAATTTGACTCAACTTCAGAAGGCGGTAGAAGACAGGAGGGCCTGGCGTGCTCTGGTCCATGGGGGTCACAAAGAGTCGAACACGGCTTAACGAACGAACGAGAGGTGTGACATATCACTCGGTCCAGCGCTCATGTTTGTTTTCTATATATTTTGAAATTCTGGAAAACACTCTATGCCTCTGACGAAGTGAGTACGAATCCATGAAACACACGCTGTGCTGAAATTCCAGTCATGCTATGAAGGAATGAAAAGGTGCCACAGACGGACAGAGGTAGCCCTCTTGGGAAAATGTTTCCCATCATTCCTGATGATACAAATGGGATCATCATCTGTCTTGGCTTGCCCGACATCGGCTATTTTCATTACGATGCCATCTCAAGATTTAGGCGCATTTCAAGATCTACTCTTACAAAAACTGAGGAAACACACACCACAAAAACTGGCAAAAGGTGTGAAAATTACAAGGTTCATCCTCGACATAACGTTCACCTGCATGAATCTGTGACCGTGACTCAGGAGAGTGATGCTACGGGATGGAGTTATTCTTAGTTTCTTCGCCTGCTTTAACATAACGTTCACCCGCATGAATCTGTGACTGTGACTCACGACGCTATGGGACGGAGTTATTCTTAGTTTCTTCGCCTGCTTTCACCTGCTCAAGATACCTTTTAGCTACCGAAAGAAATGCCAAGGCTGTCTTGGCTAACCTCTTCCTTTCCGTTCTAAGCCTTTTAATTTCCCGTGTCATTTTCTTTCCCTCGTATACACACTTTCAGAAACCCCAAACTCAGTCGAGGACAGCAGAGATGCAAAGTGGGAACTGTCAGAACCTGATAAAGGTAACTGACCCGCCCCCCCAGGACTACAAAGACTTAACAGGCCTTCTAGGCAAAGGAGCCAACCAACAGGGACACTTTGTTGAAAGCAAACCCCACACCCACCTTTCCAAAACTAGCTAATTTAATTTATATTTGAAGCCCAGGTGGGCAGAACTCCCTAAATATTAAGACAATCCTATGTTAATACAGAGTCCTAATTAATGGGCCTGATAAAAACACTTGCTCTCATAGAAGTGGGGAAACCAATTAAGGCGTACAGAACCCATTTTGTTCGTTAAGAACCAAGGATTAGAATGGAAATACTTCCCAAGATTTGGCTGGAACCCAGCCAGCCAAAATCCCGTAAAGCAGGTCAGTCTGTCTGATCAACGGGTTGGCCCAAAGAGACCCAGTGGGGTTCACAATGGAGCGGGTTTCAGAATCCCCATCTCCTCAGCCCTAGCCATACCCCGGGATCACTACTAGTCTCCCTCAACCTGATGTCCTGGTTGATGATGACAATGTCACTCTGAGGATGATAGGAAATGCAAGTCAATTCCCGGAAGGCATAAGGCTGTGTCCCCACTGAGCCACTTCACCTTATTCCTCATCAGCTGTCAAGAATCCAGGGGAGGAAAGTTACGGTACCTTCCAAATACAGTGTGCTTCTTGTCCAGGTAGGCGCAGGAACGGAATGTGATGAAACTAGAGTTGGGAGGAAAGCAACAGATGGATGTTACACGCAGGTATTGCACTGAAGCTGACACACAAGTCTACCCCAGTGTGATTTGCTCGGGTGAAAAATCTAGCAAATTTAGAGTATGAATTTAGTTAATTTGTTTTGAAAGAATTATACCCTATCTTTTCTACCAGTGGTTCCTGAAAGGACTAGAATGTCAGACTTTTAAAAAAATTACAGTAACAAGAGAGAGAAAAAAACTGTAAGCAACATTACAAGGAAGCAGCAGAACAGTCGCAGCCTTAAAAATAGGGAGACGTCTGTTAGCATATTCTGCTGCACGTCTGGGAGAACAGAAGCTTTTTCATCCACCTACATATTCCGTGCATTCCCCACGTCTTGCACGCCACGTTCCGTCAAGAGGAGAAGAGACAAAGCCGCCACTTACAACTGGGACTTGTTGCTGTTTGGCCCAGTGTTGGCCATGCTGAGGACGCCACGTCCGGTGTGGGACAGGTTGGGCCGGAACTCGTCTTTAAACGGCTTCCCCCAGTGGGATTCTCCTCCTAGAATTAAGCAAACAAGCCATTTGCTCCAAAAACCAACCTGACTTCCAGGGCTGCAGTGATGGCCTCACGCCCATCCCAAACACACCAGAGATGTCACCACATCCATGCGCTTGCTGTCTTCGAAACCCGCCCTTTCCTCAAGTTTGTTAAAAGTTTCCACTGAGTGGAAGCTCAGCAGGATACTGGCCTAGCTTAACCCAACCCAACCACGTAAACAACAGAGGGGATGCCAGCGCTGCGTTCGAGACGTCTAGTTCTACATCGCAGGATGCCCGCCTGACTCCGCTTGTCGTGAGCGAGCCCACAGGAACATGGAGGTGGTGGGGGAAGGAGAAGAGAAATCAAGGTAGAGCTACTGGTAGCTAAACGCAGGACATCTTGGAAGCCAGCTTTGACCCGATCAGACAAATTGTCTTGCTAGGTTAAGGTAAGATATATTAAGATATGGTTTTACCAGTTCTACGGCTCTAGTGAACCTCCATGGCCAAGTGGGGATTCAAACCTCAGGTCTCCTGAGTCCTACACCACACCAGGTGGTCATCCGTCTTTCTTAGTGTCCTCCAATTTGCCAGCCCTTCGTGCCCAAGGAGGAAACGTTCAGCCATGTACAAGAAGCCTTTAAGCCCTTGCTATAGCCTTCATGGGGCTCTTTCATATTTCGACTCTCTCTTGAACAGATAGAGATTGGATTCCCCTGCTGAGGATAAGCTTGTCCGCCTGGCTGTCGCTTTTCTGTTATTTATGACGGATGTGACATTTTTGCTTTCCCCTCTGGGGCCGTTCCTAATCAGGAGTGAAAATTCGGAGAAGCATCCTGTCCACCGTTCCGTGGCCAACTCATCTAATCTTGATCGACAAGCCATGAAGAGGGTGGCAATACGTTTGTCCCCCCTCCATCCTGTTGCTGAAAAGGGAGCCAAGCGCCTGACATGCAGTGGAACAGGCTAGAAACGAGAGGTGTCGGTCGGCTTGCAAAACAAGCGCTCAGAATCCTCTGGAGAAGCTGTAGCGCCGGTAGAAACAGCCGCTTCCAGAGGCATCTGCCACACTCGGGAGGCTGCTAGACAACATCCGCAGCCCGACAACTGGACACAGCAGGAGGAAGAGACATCAAAGGGAGAAAAGGGGAGAAGCCAGGAGGCAGGGCAGCGCCCTCCAACATGAGCCCACTAGATGTGCTGATCAAGCGCAGAGAACAATGCTGTCTGGGGATAATGGGACATGTACTCCAGCACACCTGGAAGTGGGATACAACTCAGCTACTGAGAATCACGCCCAATAAGCTGTTCTTCCTAATATCCAAAGCAAACAAACAGACACCCCTATGCACCTCATTCCCCCCCTTTCCTCGTGGCAAACTAATCCGACTTCCTGAATGCTCTTTTTCTCAACAAAGGAAGATGGCTGACATGGAGGCTGATCGTTGTTTGCTCAGTCCTTGTTCTGCTGACATTAATGGGCAGCCCCCTGGGCAGTAGCCCTCCCCGAAGCAGCTCTCGACGCCTCTGGCATGCAAGATGTTAAACTTTGTTTTCACTGACTTATCTTGAAATAAGCCGGTGTGGTGTGGTGGTTGCAATGAAAGATTTAAGAGCGGGGAGACCTGGATTCAAATCCCCATTCAGCCAATGATGCTCTCCAGGGGCCAGTGACCACGTATGTTGCCTTGAAGGAATTAGGGTCTATAAATGTGACAAATTCAAGGAAAGGAGTGAACAGAACTGTGACCCCTTTAAGGTAAAAAATTTCTCAGTGCAAGCTTCTGTGGCCTATACTTGGTGGTTTCAGAGGTGCATTTTGCAGCATATCAACAAATAGAGATATGCCGATATTTTAAAAATATGTAGCAAAAAAAAAGATATGCTTTTTTTTTCTTTTTAAAGCCTTCTTGAACTTTTTTTAAAAATACCCCTGCTGCCTTCACAGTGTATTTTGTTCTGGGAGTTGTTCCCAGGCCAGAGTTTAGCGCTATGGTGCTTTCCATGGAAAGTTCATCTGTGTGTCAAGTCTCCTAATCACAAATCTTTAACGAGCAACCGTAAAATAAATAAATAAATAAGGTGCAGAGAAGAAGCTTTCACAAATGTGCAGCTTGGAAACAAGGAGTGCGAAAGAATTGGAAGGTCCCCAAAGAGATGAATTTTTTAAATTTATTTTTTTTCCCTTTGAAACTTGGCTTTTAAAAGTCCGTTTTGATGTGAATCCTTGTAAACCTCTCATTTTTTTCCCAGAAGAAGAGCAGCCACCACTTCTGGTCACGAGGGCTGGACTTCTGCCCGATCCAGAAGAGCCCGCGATCATCACGGTAAAGGCCTGCTCTTCCTTTGGGAGTTAGAGGCACACGGACGCACCCCATGTTTTTAAAATAAGAGGCCTCCAAAGCACATTAAAAATAACAAACTCTGTGCTATTCCAAACAAGAGGTGTGGGTGGGAATATGCATCATTCATGACAGCTGTAATTTTAAAACGAACTGCCGTTTTGCTTAATTGCGGAGGCAGCTGGGGGGGGTGAAGGAAGGGGCATGCAAAAAAACAGCAACGTGCGAGGTGAACTAAGTGTGAGCGCCTCTGTTCACAGAACGGACAGATGACAGTCGATCTTTCTCTTCTCACTCACAGGATAAGCTGTACTTTTTTTTTTCCGGGTAGCCAAAATCCCTTCACGGAACCTCTTTCCGTGAAAAGGATCCACAGCTAGACGAGGAGGCGATTTTCAGCTAGAATCCAGCAAGGCGTGGGACAGTTCAAATCAGCCTGTCAAAAGTTGTTCCTCTTTGTGGGGTTCTAGACTCTCCCCCCTCAATGGGGGGGGGGGGAAGAAGGCCCCAAAGAGAAGTTTAGAAGGTGTCTTCCCCCCCCCTTTTGGTTGTCCTCCCTTCCCTCTGTAACAGAAGACTGCTGGTCTAAACCAATTTCTGCCAAAAGGGGAGGAATAAGTGGTAAAAAGGTAAAGGTTCCCCTTGACAAATTTTTGTCCAGTCGTGTTCGACTCTAGGGGGTGGTGCTCATCCCCGTTTCCAAGCCATAGAGCCAGCTTTTGTCCGAAGACAATCTTCTGTGGTCACGTGGCCAGTGCGACTAGACACGGAACACCGTGACCTTCCCACCGTGGTGGTCCCTATTTATCCACTTGCGGAACGCTGTTTACCTTCCCACCGAGGTGGTCCCTATTTATCTACTTGCATTTGCATGCTTTCGAACCGCTAGGTTGGTGGGAGCTGGGATAAGTGACGGGCGCTCACTCCATCACGAGGATTCGATCTTACGACTGCAAGTCCTCTGATCCTGCAGCACACAAAGGCTTCTGTGGTTTTACCCGCAGCACCCGGAATAAGTGGTAAAACCCTACAAATTAATGGTTGACCACAGAACAAACTGACCCACATGGGCTAATTACTTCTCTGTCAGCCTCGGTGTAGTTTATCTGTAAAACGGGATGATTAATTGGATGCCTTTGACCCTGTCCTTTGGGCAGTTTTCTTGGTACATTTTAAGGATGTCATCCTTATCTCCCAAGACACGCGGCAGCTGGAATTCCTCCTCGTAATTGGGCTTAAACATTTGCTACAGTGCAGAGTCCCCATTTCTTGGAGGGAGGCAGAAAGAGAAGATAAAACCCATGTGGCAGCCGTGTGGATCAACAAAAGGGGGACAGACCAAGGCCACACTTCGTTTGTGTTGGAGTTTTTGAAACCTCGCAGGCTGATGACTGTCCGTCTATCCAACAGTAACCAATGGTTCCCTCCTTCCCCTGAATTCAAAGAGAGCCCCCACCTCAGGGTCCCCCCTTCTGTTGTCTGTTGGAAGCAGAGAGTCTGTTGAAGTCTGCTGCTGAAAGCAGTCATGTTTGTCAATTTCTTGTTTATTCTGTTCCATTGTAAGTAATGAAGCCTTTTATTCTTTCACCTATTAAGGATTAGGGTGAGTTAATCAAACTGTGGCAGCAGCCACGAAACTAAAAGACGCCTGCTTCTTGGAAGGAAAGTGATGACAAACCTCGACAGCATCTTATAAAGCAGAGACATCACCTTGCTGACAAAGGTCCGCATAGTCAAAGCTACGGTTTCTCCAGTAGCGATGTATGGAAGTGAGAGCTGGACCATCAAGAAAGCTGACCGCCGAAGAATTGACGCTTTTGAACTGTGGTGCTGGAGGAGATTCGTGAGAGTCGCCTGGGCTGCAAGGAGAACAAACCTATCCATTCTGAAGGAAATCAACCCTGAGTGCTCACTGGAAGGACCGATCCTGAAGCTGAGGCTCCAATACTTTGGCCATCTCATGAGAAGAGAAGACTCCCTGGAAAAGACCTTAAGTGTGAAGGCAAGAGGAGAAGGGGACGACAGAGGATGAGATGGCTGGACAGGGTCATCGAAGCGACCAACATGAAATTGACACAACTACGGGAAGCAGTGGAAGACAGGAGGGCTTGGCGTGCTCTGGTCCATGGGGTCACGAAGAGTCGGACACAAATAAACAAATAAACAACAACTTTGGAGAACTTGAATCGATTCTTCTCTGTGAATCCCTGCACTTCTGCTCTACAGCTAAAGGAAGATAACCCTAAATTCAAAGCTCTGCACTACGGCTAAACCAACAAAATAGTAAATCAGCAGTCGAGTTTTCCAGAACTCTTTTCAGAGTCTGAGTGCTGACCTATAGCAACCCGAGCAGGGATTTCAAGGCAAGTGAGTTATTTAAGGAGTGGCTCTACCACTTCCACACCCCCAGTGAGTTTCATGCCCGAGTAGGGATTTGAACTCAGGCCTCCCGAGTCCTAGTTCATCCCTCTGCCCACTCCACCACACAGGGTTCAGCCTACATGTTCGGTTAAAACTGGGAGTGGGAACTTTTCATGATGCTAAAGTGATGATGCTCGCATAGCTGAAACAGTCTTAAAATGGATCCCAGGAATATCTATCTGCACAGATTGCATTCGGCTAGACTCTTGTTAGGCGCTAAGCATCTTTCTATTCCGGGTTGCTGGGGCAAAAACCC